TTGGCTGAGTAGCCAGTCCGGGTGGAGCCGCAGCCGTTGGCGCGGCACCGGGTGGGTGGGGCACATTTTTGCCCTGGGGCTGGCCCGGGGGTACGTTCTGGCCCGGGGGCGCACTTTGGCCCGGTTGTGGCTGGGCTTGGCCCGGTTGGGCTGCCTATGAGATAGGGGGCCAGTTAGGCTGAGTTGGCCTATAAGTGGCATTTGCACCGTTGGTGTGCCACTTTGGCCTCCTATCTGTCTGAACGGGAACATTAGGCTCGACGGGTTGGTCCGGTTTGGATCCACGCCTCTGGTTGGAGCCTGGCCCGAGCCAAAGTATGAGCTTGGGTGAGGGTTCAAGTTCGGATATAGTGAGCTTGACCCGCAGAATCCGTGGCTCGGCGTCTGGTTCTGAGACGTCGGCTGGTTCGGGCCGAAGCTGAATGGCCAAGTTGGCACAGACGGTCGCGTCTGTGTGGCAGGCGTCACTACGGTCGATGGACCCATAGTGGCTGAGGTAGTTGTAGGAATCGGTTGTGGCGGCACTGTTGGTGTCGCCGTTGATGATACCTGGTTCACAGGGATCGAGGGCGCCGGTATGGTTGGCCCTTGAGGTGGTCTCCCCCTTGATGGATCCGTTTGGAGTATATGAGCGTGGTTACGTTGCTGGTGATACACTGGCTGCTGGTAGAACCGTTGGTCCTGCCGTAGCGCCTCATTGACTTTGGCTTGCCGACGTTGTGTATCCGAGTCTGGAAAGGTGTGGTATGAGGGTGGCTCTGCGGACACCTCAGAATGTAAGTTCTCGAGATGTGATTTTTCCGCATCTAACAAGGCGTTTTCAGTGCTTTGCCTTTCCAGGTCCTCGTTAAGTTCAGTTATGCGTTGTGTGGCCGTCTGGTAATCTTTAACCGGACTGGCGTTGTTGGCCTAAAAATTAATGATCCGGTCATGTTGGCCCTGGAACACCTGTTTGGCTTTGACGAAGGCCTGCTCCAATTGGACAAAGTTCTGTTGACCAATGGCGCTGTTTTGCGCCAATTGGGCTCGAGCCGTTGACTCGGCCCTGAGCTGGTCCTGGAGGGCAGCATTTTGCTGCCGGAATTGCACGTTTTGTGCTTCCAATTGTCCTGCCGTTTGGTCCCACTGTCCTCCAGGTTGGGTTGCTTGCAGCAGAGTCTGATGGTTCTGGTGCAGCATGTTGTAGCAATTACGCAGGCGGTTGATCTCGTCCTGCAAGTTGGCCAGATCGTCGTTTAGGCGATCGTTATCCGTTTGGAGACGGTCCGTCTCCTCATCGGTTTGGTCAATGGTGGCCATGGCTTGGGTCAGGTCGTTCTTGGCCTGGGCCAACTCGGTCCTCGTTGAGGCGAGTATAAATTCAAGTCCCGCCACCGCCACTTCTAGGCGATGGATGTCCTTGTTGAGCTGGTCTCGCTGAGCATCTGGACACGGAGCAAACTTGAGTTTAGTAAACTCAAGTTGGGTCTGGGCCTGTAGGGCCGAGACACGTTTGGCCTCTGCATCCGATTTGGATGCGAGGGTCCTGTAATGGTCAATCTGTTCCCGCATCAGCTGTTCGACTGACAGGGCGGCTTCATTGGCGGCGACAAGCTGTTTGGTCAGGTCCCGCACTCTGGTCCTGAGAATATCGATGTTGTCGAATGTCCTCGGGCGGGGTTGCCTGAATCAGCTTGTCTGGGCTGAATACGGCGCGACTCATATCCAAGGATGGCTGGTTTAAGTCGATCCTCATTGTGGTCCTGGTCAGATGTCCCAGGTTCAATGGTGGAAGGTCCGGGTTCCGATTGGTCTGGCCTGGCGCGCCGATGAAGTTATTGGTTGGCGATTGCGTTGCATTGTTTGAGCTATCGACTTCGAACATGATTGGCGACTGTCTCGCGGGCGGTTGGCCCAGGTCATGTTCCTTTGGACCAGGCTTTTGGCCTTGGTCCTGCGCCTTGCGCCCACCTTTGGTCACGGTTGGTGCCTCAGGTTGGACTTGGCCCGGACTAGGTATGGCCGGTTGTGCCAAGTCCCGAGGGACACTATTGGCCTGGGCCGACTTATCGGCGCCAGGTTGGCTGTCCTTCGGCGAGTTGGCCGCGGACGGAGCCTCACGCGCTTCCAGGAATGTATCGTCCATGGTGGCGTCGCGGCTTTCCCTCACTTGTGTCCAAGTCAGGAGGCAGGATCTGTTGGTCCCGCCTTTCTTTGGCCTCGACTGAACTCGTTGAGACGGTCGAGTTTGGCTGGTCCGGGTCGGAGTCTGCCTGTCCGGCGGTGCGGAAGGTGTATCGCCCTGCCGCACCACGCTTTGAGTAGTTCTTACCCAAAGGCTTAGTGTAGTCATTGGTTTTGCGCCCGTCCATAGGACTGCACAGTCTCCGCTGGAGCCGGTCATGGCTGGTGTATAGCATCACCTTGGCCAAGGCGCTTTCAGTTTGGCCCATGGTATTGGGACTTTAAAAGTTTCTTTGGTCTTTGGTCTGGACCGGAACGTTGGCTCTGGATCGCGGGTCGGTGCTGGTCAGGTGCGCTAGAGCTTAGGTAAAGCGTTAGCTTCCTATGGCCCTATGTAACGTTACTGACCAGTGTGACATCACGTACTTAGTGATCTTGCGACAAGTTCTACGTCACGAGCAGCGTGCCGTGAGCAAAATTTAAAAAACAATATGACTCATTACGAGCCTTATAACATAGGGAAGTTTCCCAAATGCTATGACTGGTCGGTTTTCATACGGAAATAGACCACACTGACGTCACGCGACTTTTCGCGAAAATTCCGGCTGGACAAAATGCCAGTGTTTTTACGCCAAAACATTTGTAAAAATTCGGTAACTAATTTTGTAAAAGCAAAAGTGGTCGGTCCTAGACCTACTTTTTACGCTCTTTCCGAAAAAGCAACTTCTACGCCAATCGGATGAAAAGTTCAAAAGTTATTGATTTTTAAAGGTTAGGTTCTACGGAAAACCCCGAATTTTTCGAAAGTTCTACGAAAACCTAGGCGTCGCAGTCTGGTCTTACCGGTCAGTTTGATCGTCCAAACTGCTGTTCCGTCGTTCCACTTCACCCTCTTCTACCGTGAGGGCCGCAGCGCACCCGATAAGGCGTCAATTTGGGATCAGCGTCGTACCAAACGCAGTTTTGGCGCTGGGAGTCAAGTCGCGGGGCGCCTACTTATAGGCGAACGCCCGTATCAATGCAACCCGATAGGGCGCTTCAGCTGGTAAACTGGGTCGTACCGAACGCAGTTTTTGCGCGGGGAGCCGCGTGGCGGGGCACCTACTTATAGGCGAACGCCCCTATGATTAATCCGTCGCGCTGCAGGCTTCCAGTGAAGCTTGTATGATCAGGAGATGAGTGGCAACCTCTTCTAGGTCGCAGGACACAGGAATACTTTTAGTCGCTGTGGTAAGACTACTTTTCGTCGCTACGGTTCATTTGACCGAAGATTGCTTCCACTGTGGTTCAGAGATCCGTCGGAAAGAAAACCGAACGCATCTGCTACCATGTCAGATATGACACAGAAGCAGGGAGCGAAAATGGGAGCAAGATATCTTCTTTATTGTGATAACAATAAAGCAACCAACAAAAGCCAAAAGAAAACCAATGCGGAAAAGCTGTGGTGAAAAGTGGCTGCGAGCGAGCTCGGTGAAAATCAACGTAATGCCGCGGAATGCTGCAGCTGGAACCCAGCTGGTACCGCAAAGCTTGGCATCGCTCGTAAGCGCTGGGCAACACCTCCAAAAGTGCATAGCGAACGCTGATTGGTCAGCGTAGACAAAGTATACGCTGACGTTATCAGCGTACATGAGCGGCACGAATGGCGTGGCCATATGCGTACGGGCGACAGAGCAAGCCACAAGAGGTGTCTACCGCCTCGAGCGAGCGGTCTCTGACATCTTCGGGAAATCCTGATTTTCAATAGGAAACTCGCACTCCTTCGTTTACTGCCCGCTGGAGGGTTAACACACGTACCAACTGATGGTCAGACAGACAACTTTCTACTTCTTTTGGATTAGAGGACCTTGCTGTACGCCGGTCGATGAGTATGACGTAATAAGAAAGTTGCGGGATAAAAAAGTGATGCCGTAGTAAGAAAGTTACAGGATAAGGAAGTGATTGCGTAATAGAGAAGTTACGTTCCACTTCCGGGACAGACAGACAGCGTGACAGACAGACATTTTTTTAGTTTTGCTGAATTAGAGGACCTTCGCTGCGCTCCGGTCAACTACTTCGAAAAATCTTATATGTGGGCTCCTAGCATATTACAGTCACATATCTAAGCTCCCTGCTCGTTAAAACGGCTGCGAAAATTCAAGTACAATGTAAACGAAGTGCACTCTTCGACTAACTAGCAAGTCAAAAAAATATCCGATTCGCACACGTGCACTGTGCCGCACGCGTTCAGAATGCAGCTGTTTTAACGAGCAGGGACCCAGATAAGTGTCCGTAATGTTTTGGGAGCCCATATATAAGACTAAGCGAAGTATCCCGCTTTACTTAAGGCTCCACAGTATTCGAAACAGTATGGTCCGAATCGAAAAGTTTATAAAACCCTAAACTGGCTTTTTCTAGAAAGGTCAATCAGCAGCTTTTGCTGACAAAAGGCGACAGTGCTTCCGTATTCTGCTATCGGTTTGATTAGCGCATCGTTTGTGTTACTGGAGCTGGGCGATCGGTAGACTAACTCTGATATATTTTGTAGATTTCTCTGTATGTATTAAGGTAGTCTCTTAAGGTTCTACTTTTGTTCGATTTTAGGTTTCGCCGTACGGATCATAGGTATTATCGCCACATTTAGTGGTTCTAACAATACGTGGCTGTGCCTGTAAGTCAAAGTTAAGTAACGCCCTCTGCTAGGTGAAGAACGTGTTTTACCGTAACTTCTAAAAAAGTTTCTGTTCTCATTCAGTTCACGTTTAAGAAGCTAATGATGTCCATATGTTCGCCGTCTTTCCTTCACGGTTTTATGCGGTTAACCTATTTTTTCGCCGACTGGTTGTTAGCGTCATTTCGGACGTCCCGCAAATTATTTTCACAAGCGGAGAACCTGCATCCGGACGACTTAACTATTAAATTGGTTGTATGTGGAAATATGGCCACTATGCACGGTTAAGCAGGAGGCAGTAGTTATGTTGTATTACCTAAAACTCGCTCATGTCAGGCGGAAACATCATTTCTAAACAATTTCATGACATTTTTCTCTTACTTTCGTTCGATTACGCGTTTCGTCTAAGGTGCCCGAGGCATTCAAACTGACTTTGAAAACTAAATTATGTGGGCATAAGTGGAAGGTGCTTAACGGGCTCTGCTCGGCTAAGAAAGTGTGTTTTTATGTTCTGCCTGAGTCAAAATGCTACTACCATTGTGAAACGAACTGAAAGAGTTCCCCTGCTTATACCGCAGGAAATGGATTTCCCTATGCGATGTGTTCTCGCTATTCTGATCGGAGTTTCTTTGTGGTTCGCGTATGGAGTATTTCAGGTAAGCTTAAGCTATATTCAAACCGCTGCGTCGCTTACCAGTTTGCAGAAACGTTTTCATCATTTTCGAAAAAAAAAGTTTTTTTTGTAAATCAAATATGTTTTTTTTGTTAATCATACTGGTGTCTCTAGGTACGATGGTGCTCAAAGATATCTAAGTACGATGATGCTCACAGCGAGGTAACCCACTAGGGTCCACGTAGATGTTAGGTTAACATAGTGGAGGACATGGTATGATTTCTGTAATAATGCACATTGCTCACGGGTTGTTTGTTCTTGGTTTTGTTTGACAGAAAGCTAGTTCAAAGTAACTACTAATTTTTATCTGCTAATCAGTCTGGGTTTCTAAATCCTGACACCCAAAAAGATACCAAACAGCTTTTTATAACGACACTGATATGGGCGGAACTGTACCGCGAAAACGTTTATTTTCTTCAGTTTCGAACAACTGCATTCAGAAGCTATCCCAAATTTATTGTTTTTAAATGTAATATATTTTTAATGTTTGCATCTGATATTTGTCGCCACTGATTATTTGAGCGGAATTTCACACCTTTATTGGTACATAAAAATTCAAATTTCTGGACGTTGAATTTGCATTCAAGCTGTTAACAAAATGCCATCCGTCTCATCCAATCGCGCCTTATCGAGCACACACCGGGCTAATAACCACAACTGCTTGTTCCGGATAGGTGCCGCGGAGCAGAAAACTTTCCCAGAACAAGAGTCGACTCGCATTTCGTGCTTTAGTTGCACAAACTCCAGAGTTTCTGTTTCGTCTATTAGCTCACACTCATAGCAGTCTGAAATCACTAACTTAGTTTGAAGTAACAAACGCTCCACGCGTAGGACAAAGTTGTGACCGCCAGGATTTTAAATCCATTTAATTAGCGTTCGGTTTAATCAAGTTTATTTTATTCGTTGAGCTAAAACCCTAGAGGCATTTTAAATCTGTTCAGATGAACAGGAAGAACATGTTACATATACTAGAAAGCAATCTGAACACTACGAATACGGTTCCGAATACGAATCCCCGCCTCTTTTGCAGACGTCATAGCCCTATTCGTTTTGTAAACCTTCCGTAAAGCACGAAATTTAAGATTTGAATCGTAACGTGTCTCCGAGCAGCTGTCGATTCGGCTGTGTTGATGAAATTCCGTTTGGTTCGGATTTTAAGTATAGAAAACATTCCTCTTTTTATGAGTCTAAGAATTTCTTGAAAATCCTTTTCACAATTTATTAACAAATTTTTGATTGACATGGGGTATCGCAACTGAAATTACGTTAAAAATCTAAACTTGTACGAGTCGTACAGGCATACGCATCGAGCTCTACCGACCAATAGGAAAATATTAAAAGCAGTTGGATCGAGTGCAGCTAGTTAGCTTGCAGTCACCGAATTGGACGGTTGAGCTTTTCCGGTCTGAAGCAGGTTTTGCTTGACCACTTCGGCCGCGCTACGTTTCGGCCACATGTTTTCACTTCGGCTACATACCGTTCGCCTTGCTCACTTCGGTCCGCACTCTATTCGGCAACCGTTACTTTGGCTACATGACATTTCGGCTTTTATTTTTTTTTTGTGCCAAGTGGTTACTTAATATTTATTGTAATTTGTAAGCTGTTTACTCACAATTTACAACAGGCTCCCAGAATTTCTAGTGTTTTTAAAGGAGAAACTATTTGTTTTGTCAGTTTTTTTTAGGTTTTTAAGGTGCCTTTGGTTTCTTTAGAATTTAGATTATATGTTTGGGTTTTTATCGTGAGAGAATTTTTGAATTATGAGAGGCTGAAGATGATCTGGAGCTGCAAGCGAGCGTGGGGTAATCTGTGTTTTGTTCCAACAAAATAGTTAGCTTCTTTTTCTGAGCATCCAGTAATCTGTTATCAAGTAGACAAAAAACTCATGTCAAACACATTATAGTTAAGTGTCATGCGAAACCATAAACACCCTCAGTTTATAGATTAGCTGTATTTATTGGCTGTAACTATTAGCTGTATTTATTGGCTTATTTTCTAATAAAAGCAAGTATTAATGAAATTTTATATAAACAAATAAGAGTAGGAAACAATGCATCGACGCATTCGTGCAATTTTCTTACTAGACTGCAAGTTTGCAAATTTGTTCATTATTAATAATTAGCATTGTTAATTAACTAATACGTAGCATTGTTAATTATTAATAATTAACTGAACATTAATTAACACTCAGCCTAAATATAATGTGGTCGAATGTGAGTGGTGGCCGAAATTAGCGTACCCGAAGTGTAAATGGCCGAAATCATCGGTACCAACCGTATCGGCATCTGGTTTCGGTCCGAATGCATAGTCAGATCTTGGATGCGCTTACGAGCACGATTTGAATCCGTGTTCGTATTCGGTTCCGTGATCGTAGTGTTCAGATTGCTTTCTATTGACACGACAGCGATACAAACGGATGAAAGCCGAATTACTACAGGATATCCCTTTGTCTCTTCATTTGCAATTTGTACAGAGACGAGCATCGCTAGCAAGAATATCTTCAAACGTTCTTAAGCTTATTCTAAGTTTAAGTTTGTGATATTTATAAGCATAAGCACAGACAGGTATTCTCCAACAGAAACCCCCATCAAAAATGCGTTGCACTATTCTTTATACCGACACGCACTTTGGGAATCATTAATTTTGAAATGGCCGCTGGAATTTCAGTACGATGTGCCTTTCTCGAACTTTCGTTGACTGTGACAGGCCAGTGGTGCCCAAGATTACAAAAGAATAATCAAGGAAAGGAAGTTTTCTGGTCAAAAAGCGAAGAAAACTTTGTAACATGTGGTTTTATGGGCGCCCACATACCATCGACGGCGAAACAGCGGCGAGCCCGGATTGAAGCTTTATTGCTGAAATCTAACATGCGCACCGTGGCGCACCAAGTGACCAAACACCAGACTGTATTCTGCAGCTAGCACAGCTGTGCTGCAGACCCTGGAAAACGCTGGGATGGAAATTCCCAGAAACACTAAAACACTGCAGCGAATGACCAATCATGAGGGCGGAGATACCGGTCCTCACAGATTTAAAGAAAGAAATTTCTGTGGTTAAAACAGGGAGGAAATGTCCATGATCGAGAAGAAGTAGGAAAATTTCGCGCTCGAAAAACTTCGAAATTTTGCACGAACAATTGTCTGTAATGCGAGCCTGCATTACAAAGGGTCATTCGGCCAAGTGCGAACTGTCAGGGGGCGCTGGCTAAGCGCACATCGACCATCGATGGCGGAACAAACGCAAACCCGGATGTAGCCTTTTATGGCGAATCTGAACACACACCGCGCCTTGCGCGCCAGCCAAAAACGTGACTTAAGGATCTCCAGCCAGCATGACTTAAGGATCTCAATATAACGACCAGCTAGTCTGAATGCTTTTTGCAAATTTCGGTGAAAATCCAGCTTGAAATGCTCGCCATATTGTCTGTTGAACAAAAGACTCCGACCTTCACTTTTTGACCAGGCAAAATTTGGCTTTCGATCATCTGGCCGTAAAAGGATTGCCTGTTTTTTGATCTGCATGATTTATTTGTGAAAAATGCCGATCCGAATATGTTTTTTGGCAGAAACGACGCCATATTTTTGCGTGTTCTTGTGGTACAACGGTTGAAAAAAACGCGAAAACAGGAAGAAATCCGCAGGAGCCTTGCCCGTTGCGTGAAATCTTATGCACGAAACTATAGCTATTCTTTTCGTTTTCACAAAAACTATTGTTATAATGTAAGTCTTTCTACACCATTCACACGGTTGATTGGTCGAGAACACGCTCCACGGAACAAGCCGGGCAGGGAAGAAGAAGTCATCTAGAACCTGAAATAGGCTCCCGGAGCACTGCTGAGAAAACAGGGATGCTGCTTCCCAATCGAAAAAAACTAGTAATTCCTTCTGAAAAATTATTTTCGAAACCCTTGACAGGTTGTCATTGGATTATAGCGAAAACGCAAATTTTAGATTATTTTTAAGTAAAGCTATTCCATTTTCTACAGCTGAGCTGGTCAAATGTTGTCAACATTGGTGTGATAAACTAAATTTTCTCCTGGGCTATATATGAGTGGCCTTCTCCTTCTCCTTTGCCTCCGCCTTCTAGCCAGTAACCATCTCCTTCGCCTTCTCATTCTACGTTTCGCGCCTTCTCCTTCTCCGTTTCCTTCCTGTTTGGTGTGCAAATGGCTCCAGCTGCTTTCCAAGCACCAAGCATTGTTTTTACCTAAAAACTGTCTTGGCGCCCCGAAGATCATTTATATGCTGGGGTGCTGTCTGTAATGCATGGAATGACCCAGTCTTGTGGCACCAGTTGGATGAAACGATGCCCGCTTGTTTTCTAGAACCTGTCGAATGTACAAACCAACCATAACGACTATCCGCCTTGTCGTCAAGCGACCCTCCTGGTTAGCAGAGGTGGATTTGCCATCCGTCGGTCGGAAGAATTATCACTGCCAGCCTTCTTGGCTTCTATTCATTCAGTATCCGGCTTGCTGTCCTCATTAATTCCTAGACAAGGTGTTGTCGCGGCTACGTGACAAGTCGTCGCGGGACATTTCGTCGGGGACACTTCGTCTAGAGGGCTTCTGGTCGGGGGACATTTGGTATTAGGACATTTCGTTTCCGGATGTTTCGTTAACGTGACAATTGGTAGCAAAACTGCTCGTTGCCGGACTGGGACATTTCACCGCATGGACTTTTCGATGCACGGACTTATCGTCGAATGGAATTTGTTTGTATTTTAATAATAACATTAAAGTTACCACGAAAAAGCTATTATTAAAAAAATTAAGCCATGAAACCGAAATAAAAACTTATTTTAAAATCGGGAAATGAGTTCAACCATCAGCCATTTCTGAACTACAAGAACCTTACGAGGACATTTGGGTGCTGTGAACATACCCTGCACGATTAGGCTGCGATGAACAGCCGGCTAAATTTATAGCCGTTTGCATTCAGACTGTGATATCAGTAGCGTTGCGAGCTACGGCTAACCAGCTGT